TTTTTTATTTTATTTTTCTTGTTGAGGAAGATTAGCCACAGGCTAACATCTGTTGCCAATCTTCCTCTTTTTTTTTTTTTTTTGGCGTGAGGAGGATTAGCTCTGAGCTAACATCTGTGCCACTCTTCCTCCACTTTATATGTGGGTCACTGCCTCAGCATGGCTGACGAATGGTGTAGGTCTGTGCCTGGGATCTGAACCCACAAAGCTGGGCTACTGAAGCAGAGTGTGCCAAACTTAACCACTGTGCCAGGGGGCCAGCCTGGTCCCTCCTCGATTCTTGATGTCCACTAAATCACCAAGCCTTATCTGCCTCCTAAATCTCCCTCAAGTCTAGCTACTTTTCTCCATCTGTATTGTCTACACCCTAGCTGTGACCTGAGCTCTTGCCATTTTTCAGTGTGTCTCCTGCAATGGTCAGCTAATGGTTTTTCCCGTCTTCACTCTTGCCCCTCCCCAGTAGCAGCCTGAGTGGTTCCTGGAACGCACGTATCTAGTCGTATCTACCCTCCTTTACCCATTCAACTTGATCTCTCAAGGTAAAGTAAAATCTGTGTGTGGCTCTCAGACCCTGAATGCCCATGTTTGGTTTTTCAGGCACGTAGTTTTCTCCTTTGCTCCCGCACTTCAGCCTTGGTGTCCTTCTTTCAATCCGCTTCATAGAAATGCCTAGTGGTATCCATTTGCTTTTTACAATGAAAATTCTTAAATACTTTAAGTTCCTCCATAATACTACTCCTCTTTGTGTCCTTCTGCGTCTGTCTCTATTCTCTTTCCCAGCCAGGAAAATTTGTGTAAGTCGCAAATATTTTCCTCTTCCTGGAACACCACATCTGTCATTTCCTATGCATATAAATCTCTCTGGCAAGCCATAACCCTTTCCTCCTTCAAAAGTGCTTTAGTTTTGTCTGTCTGTAAAACGTATGACAAAGGGATTCATTTCCCTTTTATAGCCTGACTTCTTTCAGGGAGTCTTTGATTTTAAATTCTTGCCTACCTAGTTTGTCTTTCTAAGCATCTTAGCACATTGCCTTCAGTTGCTTTTCATTTTTGTCTATCCAAATATCACTTATAATATAGGCAATGTCACATTTTCACGGTGATTTGTTAGGTGTATTGCTGTCATCAGAAGTTTCCTACACCTTCCAATACTTTCCTCATATAAATATACCTAATTACAAAAGCCCTTTGAAACAATACTTATTGAGTATAGGCTAAGGCATTACCCACAGAGCAGGGTTGGGAAACTGCATTTCTCCTGGGCATGTGCTGTGAAAGATATTTATTAGATCATTGTCTATTTGGGATAGCTTCTTCCCTAGAATATTTGTGTAGCTAAAAGAATTGCATTAATATTTGAATTTTGGAACTTTCTCAGAATGTTTTGAGGTAGTTTGAATAGGTTGAAAATTGACTTTTATAAAATTATCGGTACATAATATCTTCTGAATCAGAAACAGAGATGCTCAGAATTTTGCATATGGTCTAGTATAAAGAGATGCATCGAAAAATGCCTAGAAGAATGTATTCAGTTGTTAACATTGGTTGGCTCAGAGATAGGTCATATTGAAAAGAACGCCCTTCTTCTGCTTGTTTACATTAGGGTACAGGGTAACCTGCTGCAACAAAGATGCTTAAATACGATGGTATAAATAGCATAGAAATTTATTTAGTTCTCATTTAACAGGCTTGCTGGTCCATGCTGATGGGGAAAGTTAGTGTCCTGTGGCTATTCCAGGAGATACACACAACCATACACCCGTTTTGTTGCTCCGCTTTCTCTGCGTTCCCAAAGCTGAGTTACTGCCATGTCAGGAAGCCTATAGGAAGAGAGAAGGAAAGGAAGTCCAAGCAATTTTTTTTAAGTAACTGCGGCCTGAGTCGGATACATCACCTTAACTTACAGTCCCTTGTGTGAGGATTAGTTTGTCATGTTTAGCTAAAAGACAGACGGAAAATGAAGTCTGTGTCTTGGTGGTCTTTTGTTCAGCTAAGAACCTGGACAAAATGAAAAGCAAATTTTAAGGGAAACCAGCAGTCTGTCACAATATACTTCTATATTAAAAATTTTCTTTTATATATATGACTATTATAATTTATATTGTACTAAACTTTAAATGAATGATTCAGCCGTTCTGAATCACTATTTTCTTTTTTAAGTCTCCCTTTTCCTTATCATTTTCTTATTCTATAACTGATTACTGAAAGTTCCCCAAAAGCAGGTACCATAATGTTAGTTCTCATTTTTCTTCCGATGATATCTAATTGCTGCATGAGTAGTAGGTGTAGAATAAATGTTGATAGATATAGATTAATTTGCTCTGAATAGCAACTTTGTTAAAACCTCATAGCAAACGTCAGCAAATGTTTTTGGTAATGGGCTAAGGAATAAATATCTTAGACTTTGTGGGTTGCACAGTCTCTGTTGCAGTTACTCAACTCTAGTGTTGTAGCATGAAAACAACCATAAGTAAACACTGCTGTGTTCCAATAAAAGTTTATTTATAAAAATAGGTAGTAGGCTAGATTGGGCCTACAGGCCATAGTTTGCTGACCCCTGCCGTATAGGATGGGCACACCCTCTAAATAGAAATAGGTGGAAACTTAGATTTGTGGAGCTGCACTCTTACAGAATATGAAACTGGAAGTAGGTAGGTACGTAGGTAGGTCGGTCGGTCGGTCAGTCAGTGCTGAGGCTTAGGATACAGTACAACTTCTGTCTAATGTTTATTAATCACATATTGTCTTCTCCCTATTTATCCTCATATAAAAAAAGGATAATAATATCCACAATGATTCTAATGCACCTTCTTGAGTGCCTGGCGTTGCATTAAGTGTTATCTCATTTGTACCTCCTGACAATCATACTGAATAGGTTCTCTTGTTATCACCATTTGACAAGTGAGGAAACTAAAACTTCGAGAGGTTAAATAGCTTACCCAACGTGAGACGTAGATGTGGTACTTGAACCTGAGTGATTCTTAGCTTACTTTATAATTATTCTTGTAAAAGTAAGGACTCTCTAAGATTTGAATAGGAAGATCAGATTCAGGCTTTCTAGGTTTGTTATGCAGCGTAATGGTACAGATTAGACCTGTACAGAAGTGGGCTAAAGAAATTGGAAGGAATTAACAAACCTCTCTGTTTACTTCAACTTCAGTTGTATTATGTTCCAGTGGCCCTGCTCTTATTGAAACCTGATCTAATTCCTGCTTTCCCCGGATTTGAAATGCCTCTTTATACTACCTTTTATTCCTAGTGAACATCTTTGTAATCTACATTGCCAAGATCAAATAATTCCTTCATTAGATCTTTCTATGTCATAGAACTCTCCTGATACCGTTTGTATCCCTCTTGTGGCAGTTACCTATTTGAACCTTACTTTGGAGTAGTTGTTGTGTACCAGGCTCAATTTTTCATACTAGATCACAAGCTTTTTTCATCTTCTTCTTCCTTCCTCCTTCTTTCCCTTACCCTCCCACTTTTCTCCCCTTCCCTGTCCCTTCCTCCTCCTCTTCTTCCTGCTTCTCTACTTATTGAGGTATACTTGACATATAATAAACTTCTCATATTTAAAGTATTCAATTTGACATAGGTATACATCTGTGAAACCATCGCCACAATCAAGACACTGAACATTTGTGTCAAGTCCAAAAGTTTTCTCATGGCCTTTGTAATCTACCCGTTCTCCAGCCCTGTCCCAATGCAACCACGTGATCTGCTTTCTGTCACTGTAGGTTCATTTGCATCTTCTAAAATTTTGTATTGATTGACTCCTACCATATGCATTATGTTTGGTCTTGCTTCTTTAATTCTGCGTAATAATTTTGAGATGCGTCTTTGTCATTGCATGTTTTAGTGACTCATTTCTTTTTATTGCTGAGTGGAATTCCATTGTATGGACAAGCTACATTTTGTTAATTCATTCATCTGTTGATAGACGTTTTAGATTATTTCCAGTTTTTTAATTGCAAATAAAGCTGTTAACCTTTGTGTATAAGTGTTTGTATGGGCTTATGTTTTTATTTTAACTTGGGTAAATACTTAGGAGTAAATTGTCTGAATCATATGGTGAGTATATGTTTAACTTTTTAAGAAACTGCCAAACAGTTCCAAAGTGGATGTACCAATTTATATTCCCACACAGGGTGTGACAGTTTCGTTTGTTCTGCATCCTCACCAACACTTGGTGTTGTCTATCTTTTAACCTTTAGCCACTTAAATTGGTGTTTGGGAGTATCTCGTTGTATTTCTTTGACAATGACGTTGACTGTCTTTTCTTGTGCTTACAGGCAATTTGTATATCTTTTTATGAAATGTCAGTTTAGATCTTTTGCCTATTGTTTTACTTGGTTTAGTTGTCATGTTGTTATTGTATTGTAAACATTCTTTATATATTCCAAATATAAGTTCTTTGCTTGTGTGTTGTGAATATTTTCTCTCAGTCTATGGCTTGCCATTTCATTTTCTTAACTATATCTTTGAAGAGCAGGCTTTTAAGTTTTGATGAAGTACAATTTGTTAATATTCTTTTTTATGGTTCCTGGTTTCTGTGTAGTACTAAGAATCTGTTGCCTCAAGGTAACAGATCTTTCTCCTGTATTTTCTTCTATAAGTCTGTCTTATAGTTTTAGGTTTTATATTTAGATTTGTCATCTGATTTGAGTTAATTTTTGTGTATGGTATGAGTTAGGGTTGAGTTTCATTTTCATTTTTTCTCAAATGGATATCTAGTAGTTCTACCATTTGTTGAAAAGACGTTTATTTCCTCATTGAGTTGATTTGGCAATCACAAGCTTCTTATGTTAACTTTTAGTGTTTTATTGCTACTTCAAGTTCAGATATTTTTTTGTTGTTACTTGAAGTCAAGGAGTTGAATTATCTTGCATGGTTTTTGCTAGATCATAAGACACTGATGATAAATTTCACCAGATAAGAAGAATTAGATTTTTAACTGACTCATTATTCTCTGATTCAATCTGATATCATTTTATTTTTAGGTGTTACACATAATATTGCATTACTTCGAGAGGTGATAATCAACTCACGCTTTATAAAAGGAGACATCAACACTAAATTTCTTTCTGATGTATATCCTGATGGCTTTAAAGGTTTGTATGCATTGAAGTATTTTAGTATATTAAAGTTATTTTTTATGCTTTATTATAATGTATAACTTTTTCTAGTTTGAAATTAAGACCTTTGACCTATATTATACATGATTTATTAACATACTTAGAGTATCCTAGACAATTGACATTCATGATTTTGAGTATTCATGAGTGACTCATGAATGTGTAATAATCTGTAATTTTGTTAAGTGAGGAATTCAACTATGTGGAATGGTGTCAGTCTGGTTTTGAAGCAGAAATATATAGGCAGAGCATTAACCTACCTCATTTTCTGGTTTCTGAAAATGAGTTCAAATTTGTATCCCTGCTGATATGAGTATATGCAGGAACACTTCTTTTAATGATTAAAACTATATCTTTATGAAAATTAGCACTGAAAATTACAGAATACCAGATGCTATTCCTATTAATGAAAATGAAGATGTCTAAAAAGATGATGGTTTTCGTTCTGAAAAATGAATTTATTGAAGGAACAAGTAGAATGTGAGATTTAGCACTGCAAAGTTATCAGTGTTTCCACGTAGTAGAAAAATTGCTCATCAAGTGAGAGACAGAGAAAACCCTTTAGTGAGCATAGAAAACATGGTTAATGAGATGGTAAGAAACTGACAGGATCTGCAGGAGACAATAGAAATGTTATTAAGGTGAAAGCCACAAGCCTCTACATATATTTCTAATGAACTTGGGGATATATGAAAATTAGATGTTCTCTTACTAGTTTCAAGTGTTCTTTATGTCCATTTTAAAGTGTTTTAGTATGTAAAATGACCCAGTCATTTTAGAAGCTATATATAGATTCAAGTCAACTTCATGTAGTTAAGCTATTGAATACATTAGAAAGCAATTTCTTACAATGTAGAGTTTTCATAAGACTAACTGTGGATTACTGATTTGATCTTTCTTTTAAAACTTTAGTATTACAGGGTTTCATCATTAGTGCCAAGGTAAATGAAGAATATTTCTTTTTGGGAACTCAAAACGCAAGACAAATGAATCATCAGGATCTTTTTCTTACAGCCCTAACATGATTACAGTTTTATACTTCATTCATTTTCTTTAATATCTGTTGGTTTCACAAAGCCAGGAACTACTTATGTTATTGCTTCTTACTGTATCCCTAGCAGCTAAAACGTAACAGACACGAAGTAAATATTTGTTGAATTAATGAAAAGAACCTTATAGTATTGATGAAAAGGGATTACCTTGGATATATTTAATTAACTGTACGTCTATCCAGATTACCAGTTAGTTCTATTTTGATCCTAACGTTTTGGCTTCTTGTCGTGTCTGAAGTTTTAATTAAAAGTTGTAGTAAGTTGTGAAGTGGACTCAGGATTTCCATATGCTTTTATGTCTGCCTCACTAATGCTTTTGTGAAGGTGATATGACATGAATCAGTAAGCAGAAGGAGACAACGGGTCAAAACTTCAGGGAAGCTTTAGAATAAACATATTGGGGCTGGCCCAGTGGTGCAGCGGTTAAGTGCGCACGTTCTGCTTCAGCCGCCCGGGGTTCACAGGTTCGGATCCCGGGTTGGGACATAGCACCGCTTGGCAAGCCATGCTGTGGTAGGTGTCCCACATATAAAATAGAGGAAGATGGGCATGGATGTTAGCTCAGGGCCAGTCTTCCTCAGCAAAAAGAGGAGGATTGGCAGTGGATGTTACCTCAGGGCTAATCTTCCTCACAAAAAAAAAAAAAAAAAAACAGAACAAACATATTGATGTGGATGGTATTTATATATACATACACACATTCATTACGTGTCTGGATATATGGTATTATATTCTATTACCATGGAGAAAAAAATGGGGCATTTAAAATTTCTGATTGGAATTGATTACTATGTACATGATTACTAATTTCTAATTGGAGTTGATTACTATGTATTGTGTGTTGTACATTCAGCAGCAATTGAAAATGTTTCAAGTTCTCAAGAGAACTTAGAAATTTACTTGAAACCCAGTATTGCATGGGGCCAACACCATGGCATAATGGTTACGTTTGGTGCACTCCACTTTGGGGGCCTAGGTTTGGTTCCCAAGTGTGGACCTACACCACTCGCTGGCGGCCATGCTATGCCGGTGACCCACATACGAAATATAGAAAGATTGGCACAGGTGTTAGCTCAGGGCTGATATTCCTCAAGCAAAAAAGAGGAAGATTGGCACAGAGGTTAGCTCAGGTCCAATATTCCTCAAGCAAGAACAGAGGAAGATTGGCATAGATGTTAGCTCAGGTCCAATATTCCTCAAGCAAAAAAAGAGGAAGATTAGCAAAAGATGTTAGCTCAGGGCCAGTCTTCCTCAGAGGAAAAAAAAACAACCTAGTATTGCAGTTTTCTGTGATAAACTTAATATGTTACATTTCTTTTTTGGTAGGGAATTATCAGCACAGACATTAAAATTCTGTTTCTTAGGCTTATGCAAGATAGGAACACAATTTTTAAATTGTTATAAGTTGTTAGAAGAAAATTTAGCAATTTTTAACCTCAGCCTTCATTTTACGTGTGAGGAAACTAAAGCCCAGAAAGATTGATAAGACTAAATGACCAGTAATGTAATAAAACCAGAAATTCAACTTTGACTTTTCTACTTTTGTTTCAGGACTCGTTCAATTGTGCTAGGATTTAAATTCATAAATCACAAAAGTCTTCAGAGTATGCTATATGTTATCATATTGCCTGTAAGGACTTTGAAAGTACACACCTATACTTGCCATTCTTAATGTCTACTTTTTATTCCTTCATGTTGTTTTCGTATCAGTTCTTTCTTCTCTGAATGGCAACTCTCTCTCGTTCTTCCTCAGATTACTCTATTTCTCCTTCCTCGTTTTTCCCCAGAGCAGGTCTTAGATATATTAAACTGTATCATCTTTGATTGTTTGATATATGTGCCTGAAAGAGACAGCAGGAAGTGGCAACTGAAGTTAATCCAGGATCTTCTCCATATGTTTGAGACTGGGTCATTTTGCCCCTTTGGGATTACCCATCTGCTTCCCATCTGTCCAGCTATCCTAGGCACTGTTCATAGGCAAGTGCTTGTTTTTATAACTGCATTAACATTTTTTATTATATATGTTTATTATCCCAAGTTTATTTGTAGACTAGGGCAGTGTTACTGTAAGTTCTTAGATTGAACTTTGAATGATTGTGTCTAAAATTTAAAAATAAAATACACAAGAATTTGTTCTTCATATCAACTTATTAGATTCTGATGTTGAAAGGCTATTTTCTTTTCACTCTGAAAAATAAATGGAAAATGGAGAAGAAGATATTTTGATTCTGGAATAAGAGGAAGAAGGTATTTTAAGAACTATTATTTCACTTGGCGTGTAATGAACATTTTGGACTTATTTCTCTGCTGCCTTGCCGTACTTCAGCCACCAGCCCCATCAAAAGAAATTATTAGAATTATATTTCTCTTCTGGAAGTTGCAGAATTTTTATAAAAGTTTGATTTAACCCAAGAATTATACCGTTAATTATACTTCTCTTTTTTTCATTGAATTTAGTCAAGTATTTCTAAACCTTTAAAAATAGTACTATAATATATAGACTGAAGTGTTGCCTTTAAAAATTCAATCATTAAAGTCATTTAACAGATAATTAGTATAGGTTCTAGAAGAAAACCAAAGATGCATGATATATTTTTCCTGCCCTTAAGGAGCTTACAACACGGGAGAAATAAACATAGAAAGAACTAACTACACAACAGGACAGAAGAAAATAAGTGCCAAGTGAAGATAGAAGCAAAGTGTCTTGAAAGCAGAGAAAAAAGAAACCAATTCTAATTTAGGGAATCAAGGATGACTTCAAGAACACGGTAGCATTTAGACTATTGAAATACTTCTCTAAGGACTCTATTCCTTAGGCGCTGGGGCCACCATGCTGCCTTGGGAGAGCCACTGTGTGCATCTCTTCCTAATGCATCTTCTTTGATATAGTATTGGTAGTTTGAAATCAGTCTTGGAGAAAGTATTTACAATAAGGAAGTTAGCAAATGCTGCACACTGAGGCATTTCTCCTTCCTTCACACCTCAGTTGGTTGTTAAACATTTACCAGCAAGCTACTGCCTAACCCTTTGACCTGACTATTGAAAGCAAACAGAGCCATTAATGTACAAAGGGAAAGGATTACCCATCTAGGAAGGAAGACCTAGAAGAATCCCTGAGGACAGGTGGTCCTCAGTTTTAGAACTGCTGGTATGGGAAGCAAATGACTACTCTTACTGAAAAATAGTAACAACACCTAAGAATATTAAATTAGAGGAGAAAGACTTTAATAAACTAAAAGCTGTGAGTTTTAGAAATAAAACATTTCAGCAAAATGAAAGCATGGTCACTGCTCAGAACCAAATTATAGTGACCCAAAGAAATAAATGGAAGACATATCTCAAAACATGTAGCAGAAAGGTAAAGAGAGGGCTGGCCCCATGACCGAGTGATTAAAATTGTGTGTGCTCTGCTTTGGCAGCCCAGGTTCATGGATTCAGATCCTGGGCACGGACCTACTCTGCTCATGAGCCATCCTGTGGCAGTATCCCACATACGAAATAGAGGAAGACTGGCACAAATGTTAGCTCATGGTAAATCTTTCTCACAAAAAAAAAAAGGTAGAGAGATTGGAATCATGTAGGAAATGATGAGAGATGTGGAGGGAAGATCCAAGAGATTTTATATGTAGATAAGCTGAAAGATGATTCTTAACTGACATAGCAACCTAAGAAAGTTGAATCCTAAGCTGACAGTGTAAAAACAAAGTAGCTCATTATCACTGCAGAACCCTTCAGAAGTCTCAGTAGTTATTAGTTCCAAGTACCTTTGGAAATTCCCAAAGGTGGAACTGTTGGTCTAAAATCTCTGATAGGTTTTCTCCATATTCCCTCCCTCACTCTTCAAAGCAGGGTGACTCTCTCCTCCACCCTGGCAAAAGCTTTGAGGTTCTTCTCTGTAGAGAGTAAAATAGTCTGCACTGGGGG